TAATACAATCCCCTCAAGAAACCTCTAAGCCGCGATAGCATTCAACTCCTTCAACTGACTCTCCAAATCCTTCTTATTCTTCGCCTGCAAATCCGAGTTTCCACCAACGTGTTTCTGACCGATGAAGATATTAGGGACGGAGCTTTGGCCAGTCTTTTCGGCAAGGTAGGATTGGATAGCTGATCCGTCGTCTGGGGGGAGAGTTAGTTGAAGAGATCTTAAGAGAAGAAGGAGATGAGGGGAGGGGCATTGAGGAAGCAAAGAAAACGGGTAAAACATACCAACTTGATCAAGCTCGATAGCGTAAAAGTTTGCCTTCAAATCGGTCAAGAGCTTCTTGGTGGCATTGCAGTATGGACAGTAGGATTTGCTGAAGACGGCTGTGTATGAACTTGTTAGTTATTTATTTGAGTGTGATGTTCTCATTGTCTTCTCTTCTCTTGATTTCTCATCGTAGCATCCCATACTCCTCTCTTCGAGTAATCTCTAAGCTCAGAGATTCCTCGAGGAGCAGACAAGTTTCGAATCCAGAGAGTACATCGCATAGCAGCATAGCTGAGTATCTCCCCAGCACCACAAGAAGAAGATGAATTGAAGACATGAAGAAAGAGAGAGAGAGAAAAAATCACAACATACCAACAGCGTTACCATCAATAATGCCATCGGCTTTGGTTTGAGCAGCAGACATTCTGGCGGCGGTAATGGGAGTGGTGGTGAAGAAACGACGGAAGATATTAATGATGGGCGAATGGTATGAGACCGGTTTATACCTAGGTCTTGTAGGTGAGGTGGGTGGGGTGGTTTATATGTAAATGTCGAGTGTGGATGGGGATGGGGAGTTCCGGAAGGAGTACTAGTAGGTATCTGTGATTTATGTGATTTATGTGATTTATTATTATGTAGGGAGAAATTGATGGTGGGAAGGAGGGGTTGATTTTGGTGTGGTGTGGTTTGGTGTGGTTTGATTGATTAGCAATTGGGTGAGGGGCGGAGAGGTTCTAGAAATGGAGAGGATTGTGTAGGATTGTGTAATCATTCATTTACGAAATTACGAAATTACGAACCTGCGAATGAGCTTACCTAGGTAGGCGTGATTGCAGATTTGATTGGGATATTGCGTCACTGGACAGGCATGGAAAGAGAAGGCATGGGAAGGGCTCTGTAGATCAGCTGGGAGCTGTGGGATGGATTTTCGAAAGGAGTTGTGGACTTTGGTTAGACGGACTCGAGGGAGTACATACCAGGCCAGGACAGAGTCGTTGAATGATTTGAATTCTTTGCTGATAGATTGATTCATGTATGTACGGAGTAGAGTAGAGTACTAGGTATGCAGCTATTGTTGTTATATTTCTTTCTATTGAATATAAAGCTTTATGAGTGGTTGAATATGAAGCTTAATGAGTGGCTCGAGGATAGTAGTAATGTTGTACTCTGAGAGTGTTGTGATGTAAGAATAAGAATCATAAAGATCTCTTTCATTGGTCGATGAATTACCTACCTAGGTAGTAACAATGCTTTGATTCATTGCAATGATGGACAAAGAATTGACATAGAATTGACATTGGATACCTATCATCAAGGTAGCATGGAATCATGCAAGAGTGAGGCAAAGCATCCCTTGGTGGTACTCGTACTTGTCTTGTACCTAATTGCTCTGCTAAGAAAAACATGTGTTGGCATCCCCGTGGACAGCCCTGTGATCTATTTGATATGGATGGATGGCTAGAAGAAGCGATGTTGAGGTTATTGGGTACTATCAAGCAAGTAAGTAGAGTAAGAGATGGATGCTTCGTATGTCTGAATATGTCTTATTTATTATAAAATACTCCATCATGCTCGGTAGAAGAAAGGATATATATACAGTCAGTACCTAGTACTGTACTTTACAGACAGCCGGTGCGGTACGGTTCAATACGGTACAGTAGAAGGAAAACTAAAGAAGCGGCCGGCAATTCATCAATGGACAGATGTCATCTCGCTCTACGATAGTACAGGATTGATATCGTCTGAACCCTTTCTAGACCCCATCCATCATACATTCGGCCGCCTTATAATACCTACTTTTTGATATTCACCCTGACCTCTACGATATCGAGATCGGTAATTACTAGGTATACACAATAATATCTCATCCTCACTCACTCTAACTTTGACTCTCACTCTCTCTCACTCTCTCTCACTCTCACTCTCACTCTCACTCTCACTCGCTTGATCATCCTCACCGCCATCAAATTCTTAATTAGAATCAATCCTCATCAATCAAAACTTCCGCGCATGAAAAAGACAAAAGACAAAAGACAACATTAAATCCATTACTCTCCAAATTGTTCCATCTTTCCATCAGCTTCGAGACCCCGTCATCGAAAGCCTCAACATACGAGTCAATCACCCCACCTTAAACCCTACATCCCACATATATCGAAAGCCTTGTCATATCACATTCACAAGTTTTCTCAAGGAAAAAAGTCCCCTCCACAGGACTAAAGACAGAAAATCAGCCAAGGTGGCTTCCCGCGTTTTGGACTCGCAAGGTGGCACCCTGTCTTCTGCCATTCAACGTCTTCCTGATTCTCTTCAAACCTATCTTGACACGACCGTTCAACATCTTCAATCCGCCTATTCGCAAATACCTGAACCCGCTCAAGCGTACATCGAACAAGCGGCAAAATATACACATATCGATCAGGTTCCGCCTACAGCATTAGCGGGTAGCGCCTTTGTTTTACTTGCAGCTGCTGTGAGCATGAGTCGTTGGGGAAATAGTTGGTTCAGTGGTGGTGCCAGTCGTTTGAGTCCCTTTTCGAGTCGAGGTAATCCACCGCAGGTACAAGATGAGGATTATGAATATATAACTGGTGAGGATTTGGAGCAACCAAGAAGAATCTATGATCCACATTTGAGACCACCTCATTCTGCACAAGAGGAAGATGATGTGCTATTGGTGAAGAATAAGGGGATTACATATCCGGTTAAATTCCCAGCTTACAGTATTGGGGATGGAAAGTTAGAAGTCAGTGATGTAAGAAAAAGAGCTGCCGCCTTGATGGAAGTTTCGAATTGGAGGAAGTTGAAATTGGTTTACAAGGGACAACAATTGAAGGATGATCATGCCCTTGTTCGAAGTTATGGAATAAGAAATGAGTCGGAGATTCTTTGCATTGTTGGGGACGCAGCAACTGGAAGTGAAGATTCGGGAGATGAAAGCGAAGAAGTAGAAGGGACCGCCGCCAAGCTCAGGAAACGAATTCGCAAATCGAAGAATAAGAAGGGAAAGAAGAAGAGCAATAATAATCTCAAAACACCACAAATGGAATCATCTGCGACTTCCAGAACAGCTTCACCAATCCCTCCTCCAACACCCAAAACACCAATCGAGAAATTAAACGCTATTTCAGATACCTTCCACAATGACATCTTACCGTTAGCAGAAGCATTTATTGCGAGTCCGCCAGAAGACCAAAAGAAGAAGGATTTCGAACATAAGAAGTTGAGTGAGACTATTATGGGACAAGTACTATTGAAGTTGGATGCGGTTGAGACGGAGGGTGATCAAACAGCGAGGGAAACCAGGAAAGCTCTTGTGAGAGAGGTTCAAGATGTTCTCAATGAACTTGATTCAAAGGTTCCAGGTGCAGAATAGAGGGTTTTATTTCGGCTACATCAGTTTTATTTGGGAGGTAGAAGTGAATCAATCGCCAAGTTTCGACTCCGGATTACTTCTGCATTGAGGAATGCATCTATCTTTTGTTGCATTTACAAAATTTGTTCAATTGGGATGCTATGCATATACTGGGTATGATTGGGCTTCTCCACTTCTAGGGAGGAATGGTATATTGCAATATTTGCAATTTGGCATGGCGTACTGCATAGATGGGATATGTGTTAATAAGTTGATGATAGGAAAGGAGGGGTTCGAATTGAAGTGCAGGGGTGAGCGTCATTGACACATGGGAAAGATGCGAGAGGGTTGATCATTCTGTTTGCATCGAGGAGCATCAACATGAGCATGATATGACTTGTGGTTTGATATTCTGGAAATGCATGTATATGCTATTTGGCCAGAGTGTTTATATTAAAGATTACAGGAATTGAATGTATGTCAAGACTAAAGTGTATAACCCATTTTGCCTCCTGCTACATGTGATATCATAATTGTGACCACAACTCAAAGGGCTTTGACACTTTTATTCGGAGCATTTTGTTGCATTCTACTCTACAACCGCATGATACATCGAAAGTCTACGTACCGTATCTAGGTAGTATCTTGATGAATTTCACAACTCCGCAGCCGTGTTGAATATTCGACTTTGTGTTGTCCTGGATATTCGAGTACGGATGTCCGAGTATTGGAGAAGTTCCAAGTACCGAGTTGATAATAATTGTCCGAATCATTCCAATTATCAGGTGCTGAAATGGTTAACTGCCTTGTGCACTGTATTGCAACCATCACTGGCCGGGTGATATCGAAGCCACCCTGAATCATAAACATCACTTTGATTTAAAACATTAGATAACAATTACTGGTATCTGCTCAGTTCATGCGATCAAAATTGCTGCCTTATTATCTGCCATCAGGTTGGCGAGGCTTGCTTGAAGTGAAAATTCGATCAACGTAAAAATGGCAAGGCTGCAATCGCACACATCGTTAACTTCAATTTTCTCAACAATACTGGACATGATCAAAGTGAGTTCAACATGAAATTAAATAAACATTGCCATTGAAGAGAAAAATATTGATTCATCATCACCATCATTTTGCCTCACTCAATAAATAATTCTTTTCAATTTTCCATCAAATTGGGGTTGTTAGCCCTGGGACTCGGCTAATATTTTTAGCGCGAAAACCGGTGTCAATTTGGAGAATCCATCCACCGTAAAGGAATTTGAAGACAACGACCAACCGACAAACCACGACACCGCCCTCATTAAATAACGAAGGTAGAGCAATTTGAATTTCTGTACGCCTTTCGATTTCATTCTGACAATTTATCCAGGACACGATGTCGACCTTCGAGCCAGTCGTAAGTGCTCAATTCCATACATATCCATGGCAACCATAGCCAAATTCAATATCTTGCGACAACAATCATGGGAAATGGTTTTGGGGGAACTCAGCAATGTGGACGAATACGAATAGGAACGAATTGCTGATGTTGGATTTCTTATAATAGATCACGATCGATGCCAAGGGTCACCTTCTTGGTCGACTTGCAAGCACTGTTGCAAAGCAGTTGCTCAACGGCCAGAAGATCGTCGTTGTACGATGTGAGGCCTTGAACATCTCTGGAGAGTTCTTCCGTGCGAAGCGTACGTTTTCACCTTGATTAAAATTGCGATGGGATTGGAGATGATGGATTTGATGTCGCGTCTGGGTGGAATATATGAAATGATGGAAGACTGATTCAATTTCGATAATAGTCAAGTACCACGCCTACCTCCGAAAGATGACCAGATACAACCCAACCCGTGGAGGTAAGATATCATAATCCGCCAATTGCGATTCTGCGATTCGCACTCGATATAAGGAAATTTTCCTGACTTTTTCACGAATAGGTCCTTTCCATTTCCGTGCCCCATCCAGAATCTTCTACAAGACCGTCCGTGGTATGATTCCTCACAAGACCGCCCGTGGTGCCGCCGCCATGGAGAGACTTAAGGTTTTCGAGGGTGTTCCACAACCATACGACAAAGTCAAGCGCGTTGTCGTTCCCCAAGCTTTGAGAGTGTTGAGATTGAAGCCTGGACGCAAATACTGCACTGTCGGTAGATTGAGCCACGAGGTCGGATGGAAATACCAAGATGTTGTCGCTAGGTTAGTAAATTCTTTGGGATTGGGTTGATTTCCGGATGTTCCCGAGATGGTTACTAATACGAATGATTACAGACTTGAGGAGAGAAGAAAGGTTAAGAGCGCAGCATACTACGAGCGCAAGAAGGCAGCACGCAAGCAGCTTTCAGAAGCCCAGAAGTCCGCTAAGATCGACGATAAGACCAAGACTGAGTTGGCTGCTCTCGGCTATTAAATATCCTGGACCTTATTTGATGTGATTTTGCGCTGCTGGGTGGATGGATTGGGTTGTTTAACGGTTTCTTCTTTTCAACAATAACAACGTCAATGCTTTGTTCTACCATTCATTGGAAGATCTCAAGGCCTGGTATTCATTTACCATTTACACAATATTGGGAAATGCTGTAACGGCAAAAGGAGTCTGATACAGCAAGGAACTCTGATGTGTATTGCTTCGGCTTGCATGCAGTTCATAGCGAAATGAAAAGCCCAAGGCATGAATCAAGAATGAATACATTGCGTTTGGTCTTGTGGAAATGGAAGTGGAATTGTGAAAAATAATATTGAAATCCATTTTAGTTACAGTTTATGAATGAGCATCGGTTTGGTACAAGTTACTTTAAATTCTTTGTGAATTCAAAGAGCAGTTTTGTTGGAGAGAGTACGATGGATCTTATGAAACTTGAGCTTATAAGATCATCATGATATGATGTAATTTGTTGGCTACCTTTAACAGCTCAACTGATATACCCATAGGTAGAACCAAAGATTCCTAGATTCCCAAACCTTCAAGGATCTGATCGTCCACCATTATTATTTTGTTGAAGTGCTTTGCATTTACCCCTTGTCACCACCTCCCAATTTCCCATTTTGCATTCTCATGTTCTGTTGAAGCACCTTTCGGTTATTGTAAACCCTCCTTCCCGTCTTTACGGATTACCCAGGTAGGAATATGATTTACGATGCACATGATTATGATGTTCAATTGAGATCTTCATGGAGTTCTTCGTGAATGAAGCAAGACAGATGCACGATGAAGTCGATGAAGGAGAACAGTGACAAGAGTACCCGCTCCGGAACTCCGAAGCCGATGCCGAGCGGGGCGGAATTTATTCCTTTGCAAAGGGTTGAACATTGCCGCGGGTGAAGGGAGTGTGGATTATTGGAGATGATTGGTTGGATTTGTGTGGTTGGATGGATTGGATGGGTTGGATTGGAGAGGGGATGGTGGGGTAATTGGATTTTGTGGAATGCACTTGTAAGTTACTCCACATTATTGCGGCGGGAGGAGGGGCCTCTAGTTCTGGCTGGGAGGCTGGTAAAGTATAAATGTTTTTGTTATCCTGGATGGATAGATGGATGTTGGAGGAGGTAAGATTACATAGGTACCTATGTATCAGGATACTTATTAACTCCTTTGTTTACTTATTGATCGGGTCTTTGGGTAAAGAGATTTAGTTGGGTTTGAGTGGATTTTCATTCGGATTGAACTGATTTGATTTGATTTGATTTGATTGATGAATTGGTCGATTGGGATTGTTTATTCAGAGTTATATTTACGATATTCGAGGAAGATATTGGAGTTATATCGATTGGTCAATTGATATACATCCACCAGATCCGGCAAGGTTAGAGAAGACAATACGAGCTTAAACGAAGGGTTTGAGACAACGGATCGGATCGTTAAGAGAAATTACGAAGACGGGGGAACTGGGCTGAAGAGGTGTAGTACAGACTCGAGGACGCAGTCAGAGATAGAGAGACAGAGAGAGTAATTACAAAAGCTCCCGAGAGACGTCGAGTCGATAAGATTATTCAGGACACCGATACTTGGCTAGCGGACTGTTCCAAATCATTCATATCAAATTAGGATTCCAAAATGTCAGGTCCTGCTTCTAGGCTTCAGAGTCTGGTTAATCATTTACTACCTTCTTCTGGATCAAACACATCTTCGACAACGCTGCCGGCTCCAAAACATCACATCCATACCCTCTCACCTACATTTTTTCTTCCCCGCGCAGCAGCGATTGAACCTGATGCTCCAGCTATCCATCATGTTACTGCGAATGGACAAACGATCACACGATCTTATCAGGAATTTGCAGATCGCTCTCGCGGTTTAGCATATTATCTCAAAAACCATAAATTCGCGCGGATAGGAATACTATGTCCGAACACGCCTGCTTTTCTCGAGAGTATTTTTGGTGTCGCGGCGGCGGGGGGAATACATGTGGGAGTTAATTATCGGTTGAAGGAGGAGGATGTTATTTATATTTTTGAGTTTGCGGAGGTGGATTGTATTGTTGTGGATAGGGAATTTGTGGGATTGTTGAAAGGATATAGGGGGAGGAATCGAGGGGTGAAAATTATTGTGGATGAGGATACGGATAGAGATGAGGGGGAATTCGATCATGCGGTTTTGGAGGGCTTGAAATATGATGTAGAAAATGGGGGGAAAGGTTGGGATGGATTGCATGCGCAGGCTGATGATGAGGACGGTACGATTGCGATTCCATTTACGAGTGGAACGACGGCGAAACCTAAGGGGGTGGTTTATACTCATCGGGGTGCATATCTTGCGGCTATGGGAAATGTGGTGGAATCGGGGCTGAATTTTCATAAAGGAAGATGTGGTTATCTCTGGACACTGCCCATGTTCCATGCTGTGGGATGGACTTTTCCTTGGGCTGTAACAGCAGTCAGGGGCACTCACTTCTGTCTTCGCAAAATCGATTATCCTCTGATATGGAATTTGTTGAAATCTCAACCCATCACCCATTTTAACGCCGCACCTACCGTAAATACTCTACTTTGCGCCTCGAAAGAAGCAGCCCAACTCCCAAATCCAGTCCGCGTCACCGTCGCCGCATCACCACCTACAGCTCATCTTTTCGAAACAATGACAAATCTCAATCTCATTCCAGTTCATGTATATGGGATGACGGAAACCTATGGTCCTATCACAAAGGGATACCACATGCCTGTTTGGGAAGACATCTCACTGAAAGAAAAATACAACCGCATGGCGCGTCAAGGACATGGATTCCTCACGTCTCTCAATCTCCGAATTATCAAACCCGATCAACCGGATGATAAACTTATCGATGTCGCGCGCGACGGGAAAGAAATTGGAGAAATCATCTTCCTAGGGAATATATGTGCAAAGGGATATTATAACGATGAAGAAGCGACGAGAAAGCTCTTTGCGGGCGGTGCACTGCATAGTGGAGATTTGGCCGTGTGGCATGAGGATGGGAGTGCGCAGATTCTGGATCGCGCGAAGGATATTATTATTAGTGGGGGGGAGAATATAAGTAGTGTGGCGTTGGAGGCGATGTTGGTGCAGCATGAGGGGGTGTTGGAGGCGGGGGTGGTGGCGGTGCGGGATGAGAAGTGGGGGGAGTGTCCGGTGGCTTTTGTTACGGTTAGGGAGGGGGGTGGAGCGGGAGAAGGAGAAGGAGAAGGAGGGAAAGGGGGCTTGAAAGGTGAGGATGTGGTGAGGTGGGCAAAGGAGGAGAGTAGTATTAGTAGGTTTATGGTGCCGAAGGAAGTAATTGTGGTAAAGGAATTGCCGAAGACGAGTACGGGGAAGGTGAAGAAGAATGTTTTGAGGGAGTGGGCGAGGGGGAATTGGGAGGAGAAATAGGGGGGTGGATGGGTTGGCAGGAGAGGAGAAGAGAGATGGAATGGAATGAAATGAAATGGGTGAGAGCTGAATCGAGCTACAACGTTGTTGTATACTATACTATACTGTGAAGTTAATGGGAATTATTCTGTGTATTTGGTTTGCTGTGTTGTGTATATGTGTAGGTAGGTATACATGAGATATGTATATGTATATGCAGATTAGAGAATTTGAGGGCTGAAAAAGCTCTAGAGAGAGGAATTTGGGGTTTCAAAGGGCTAGAATAGGTAGGTAGGTTAGGTGTGTGGGCCGAAATGGGGAGATGAAGATGTAGATGAAGATGTATGTAAGTAAGTAAGTAAATACAGATCTGATTTCTTATATCATATCACTATATCACTATAAACTGAAGTAGGTACTTAGGTACTTAGGTACCTAGGTATACCTACCTACTTATCAGCCCGGTTTTCAATAGGTAATACCGGTATTGTATTATATTCGAGGTATTGTATTGTAGACTTTCATACATGTATTTGTATCGTTTTTTGTAGCGGAATTGTAATTATGATTATGATTATGTGGAGAAGGTTGAGGCAAGGTTATGGTTATGGTTATCTACGATACTAGGTATTTATTTATTATATTTGTATTCTGATAAGATTACTCTTGGAATGAAATGGAAAGATGTTAAGTAAGGTTAATAGGTAATAATAGGTAATAATAGGTAATAATAGGTAATAATAGGTAATAATAGGTAATAATAGATAATAATAGGTAATAATAGATAATAATAGATAATAATAAGTAATAATAAATAATAATAGGTAATAATAGGTAATAATAGGTAATAATAGATAATAATAGATAATAATAGGTAATAATAAATAATAATAGGTAATAATAGGTAATAATAAGTAATAATAGGTAATAATAGATAATAATAGATAATAATAGATAATAATAGATAATAATAGATAATAATAGATAATAATAATAATATATAAATAGATATTTATATTAAACTAAACTGGATCTATGTAGTCTGAGAGGATTCGGATTATTCGGATTATTTATTTATGTTTTTTAATTGTTTGATTATTTAATTGTTTAGTAAATATACGAATAATATAATATATTTGCTATTTTATGATATGATATGATATGGTATGGTGAGAAATATATACTTGTATACGAGTATATAATCTTATATTCTTGCTTACCTAGCGAGCCTAGGTACTCTCGCGACCGACAGAAAAAACCGAACACCAAAATTCTTTACCTCAATCAAAATTTGATATATAAACAATAACTCAATATAATCTTTTCAAATCTTTAATAATACTTATTTATTAGCTTATAATCTTTATAAATCAACTCAAAAAGATTTAAAATATTAAATTAAATTAATACTAAATTTTGAAAAAGAATCATTGTCAAATTTTCGTTTATTTTGCGGGGTTGGTATTCGGTTTTTTCTGTCGGTCGCGAGGTACTTAAGGTTACTTGCTAAGAATCAGGCGATCACCGGATTTTACCTTAGTGTGGATCGATTCTTGAGTTGAATGCATGGGTATGTCCACCCTCAGACTTTCTATTCCATAGATATCGTAGGTACCTTTCTTGTTGACAATCTAATTCGGTATCTTATGCTTTTCAATTTTCAATTTCATTTTTTTTTTCAATTTTTTTTTTTGATCATAGGGAGGGAGATAATGAGGGTCGATAGGATATGCATGATGCCCGCATTCTACGATTTATGGAATAACCTTATTGTAAGGGTAATGAAGAGTTCGAGCGGGTGGAAAATTCACATCTGGAGGGCTGAGATCCATTGACGACCTCGGGAATTACATGGGCGGTTTGATGCGTGGCTGCGCCGAGTCTATCGGCAACCTTAGGAAGACGATGTGGCGCATGAGATGGGAGTGGCTCGAGTGGGTTATTTACCTAGGTAGTGTTCTGTTTATCTTGTTGAGTTTTTGTTTTTGTATATGGTTTATGGGGTTTTTGTTTATTTGGATTTGCGCATTTTGGGGTGTGTGAATGTTATGGAGTTGGGATTTGCGTTTAAATTTCACAGCGGGGAATCTGTTGATATTTTAGGGTGTTTTAGATCTCGATTGGTGGAACATCTACGATGATGCTATGAGAGAGGGGTTGAAAACGCGTGCTGAATTATGTTTGGAATTTCCGATTCTCTGGATGAGATGATGAATTCGAATTCTAGTGGAATGGATATTGTTTATCTTGTTATGAAAGAGAGGTTGAAATGTCGTTCTTTGGTGTTGAAAGGGGGTTCGAAGTCGTTGAGGAGGTGGTGAAGGGCTTGGGGGAGATGTCCAAGGCTTGTGATGGTGCGGTAAAGGATATGCCGAAGACGTATTGGGAGGAGGAAGAGGATAGATTGGGGGAGAGGGAGTGTGAGAGGGATTATGAGTTGGAGTTGAAGATGTCGAGGATGTGGGAGAGGTATCATGCTTTGCTTGATCCGAGAAGAGTGCGGATGAGGAAGGGGGCGCTTGCTCCGAGGAAAGTGGTGGGTGGGGGTGAGCCTGCTGAGAAGGATTGGAGTTTGACGTGGGATTGGGGATTGGAAAGTAAACCGGATGGAAAGATTGAGAAATGGAGTAGGAAAATGGAGATTTTTGAGATGGAAGCTGCATCTATGGTTTCGACACTTTCGATACCTCCAACGCCTTTAATATCTTCGGATTCTCCAACACCCCAAATACTTCCAATCCTTCAAACACCTCCAATACCTGAAATACCTGAAATCTCTCCAGCAACTTCAACACCACAAATACTTTCAACGTCTTTAATATCTTCCACACCTTCTACAGGACTTAATGCAGATCACTCATGGGGGCTTGATTCTGGGTCAAAGAAATCCATGTTAAAACAGGAGAAAACTTCTCCTATCAATATTAGCGAAAGGAAAGAACTTTACCCAGACGATTTGTATTCTGACGACTTGTATTCGGACGATGTGAAATGGAGCATCTGAAAGCAACCATAAGGGCAGAGCAAACCTACGTAACATGGTTACAGATTATGGAACCAATGATTGGTTTATCACGGACAAAACATGAGGGAGCGCTCATTCCCAGAAGTCTACCTATGTCAAATCGAGCCATGCAGATGAACTATGCATTATGCCAGCTCACAAATCCACTCCTTCCGATTCGTATCTCGGACGCTCTTCATCCTTTTCTTCTCTTCTACGATGTGCAAAGTGCTTGCACTTTTTCAATTGAGAATCTTTTGGGCTTCTATGGCATTCTTATATACCAATTATTGTGGGTTGATAAGTGAGGATAGCGTTTTTAAACAAATCATATCCATTGTGGAGGCTAACAAATCTTTCCAACTTTTCAGAAAACATGGTCGAGTCACATTTTCTCAACATCCCGCTAATTTCGAGACTGATCACCCCAATACATTCAGTAGTTTTATTGATACTCCCAATTTCGATGTTTAGCGTACCTCCCCTCTACTCCTGGATAGGAAACCTGCATTCGTTTTATTGTTACAAATAGCCAAACAACCCCCTTCTCTGCGAGTGTACTCTGAAGCAGTGCCGGATTGGCACCGTATAGATCACTTATTGTGTCTGGGCTATAGGGAATATGTGTGGGCTATCTATTCTCCTGCTGATGCGAATGTTTGCATGAGTTATGCTCTCAAAACTTGGAGTCGAGTGCAGCACCACGAACCTCGGATATTCTTACAGGAATGTTTCGAAGGTGTGAAGTTGTCTATCACTTTGGGAGAGGTAAAGAGGTCTGATCAATACCGAGGATGTCTGGCAGGTTCTTCATCTCTTCTCCGTGGTCCAAAACATCGGATGAAAGAGATCGAGAACGGTAAACTCTCTGATGTCAGTAAGAGAAGACAATGTTCAGAAGAAATCTTCAGGAAGGAAGTCCTTCAGAATTATAGAGCTCGGATTTTGTTCGAAGAGTTATATTACAAAATAGCGAAATCACCTTTCGATAGTTATATCCAATCGATCGGAAGGCATTCTAGCGTACGGAATTTACTTAGCAGATATGGGACTTTACCTAATGCTACTCGACGCATAGATTGGACATATGTAAGAACGACTTTATAAGAATGTATACTCATAGATTCAGCTTCATGCCAATAACCTACCAGAAATGTGGACATACTTCCTACGACGACTTTACTGAGCTCCCAGGTCGGGAAGGAGCAGTTGTAGATTTTGCAAAGGAATTGATGCAAGCAGGCTACATAACTCGAGCACAGATAACAAGTCAACCATTGGAGACAAAACTTTGGGTTAGTGGGAGACTCCAGAATGGCATTAATCTCATCTCGAGAAAACTTGCGAAACTTCGGAATACCCCTCTGCCAACGTTTGTCAAAGCGAGTCCCCCGAAAAATGTGGTCTGTCTGCCTGCCGATGAATGCCGTCGGCTTCACTTGTGTATGAATAAGAAACCATACACAACTCATCTCAAGCCACTTCATGTGTGTAAGGACGAAAATCAAGATCCATTGACCGACAAAGCTTTCTTCAAAGCTCTGGAATGCGCTTATAATAAAGAAAAGACGTGGAAGGGACTGGGCGATTTTGAAGTTGAGGAGAATCAAACTTATAGGTGTATGAGCTCCCACTCCTGGTTGAATTTTTTTATCAGTATTTTGGGGTTTCAGAATCTGGGGGTTTTTGAACGGAGTCTGGGCTTTGAGAGTATTGGACGAAGTGTTCGTCTAAACCTTGAGCAGCAATAATCTCTTTACCAGCTGGTCAACACCGAACTTCCCGATTTCGATTGAACGTGTGGAATAACATTGCTGACTTTACATAGTTCGAAGCCTGTCCAGGCGACTATGTTGATCATATCAAACCTAATGATCTTCCACCAACAACCAATGAGTATGATTTGCACCGCCACCACCTCCAAAAATGGTTCTTCCCATTAGTCTAGAACACATGTTACATCTTTTTCAAGACTGCCCTTCAATTTCTGATGTCAATTCAAATTTCTACCTGCAACAAATTCCCCGCAGGAAGATCGAACCGATCGCATTCATTTAATGGAAATAGGTTAAGCGAAAGTCTAGGCTGGGGATTACATTTTGTCGAGGGATTAATTACGTCCTTGGCAATTACCGTTATGATACTCTCCTCGGTCTTAGGAATAGCATTTGCTATTTGTTGGAAAATACTGGAGAAAGATATTCAAGGAGCAGGAGTTGCCGCTTATATTACTAGTGTTATGACCCTGGCGGTAATGACCTGGCAATTGTGGGCTTTATGATTTGAATGATGTGATTCAGCAAGTCGTGAAGGACGTTAAACGCCGGTGAGGATCCTGTCTGTCGTTGATCAGACATGGTTCCACTTTGACTTCTACAAGCTCAACCCTGTTAGAGACCCAGCACGTGCTGGGGTTACATTGTTACCAAGCAGAGAATTCCAATGATCTGTTCGTCGGCTCGCACTTTTTAATTCTTGAGGATAAACTTGGCACACATGAGGAAACGGGATATACATGAAGAAACGGGATATACACGAGGTTTTTTATTTTTAGGCGGTGTAACGTCTCGAATTTTACGTAGTGAAGATGGTTCTTGATAGGTGTGAGACTTGAGACAGGGGGATCGTGGATCGTGGAACGTGGGAACAATAAGCTTAATCTCGAGAGGCTAAAATGGCTTGCTTGGCTGACTTGGCTAATCTAGTTTCACCAATCAGATAAGCAATAGGTATGCATCATCCCACCTACGTACAAAGATATTCTCCAAATATATATATATCGCTAATTCAATCCTAGGTAGAGAGCCAATCAGTGATCAGGTTCTGTGACAGCAAAAAAGTTTATTGTCCGTTACGCTTATCGTTTAATTCCTTTTGAAGAAAGAAGTTGACAGGAGAGAGGACTCAGAGGAGGCTGTAGTATCATATCTCCACTGTTTTAGATGGCATCAAGAAAAAACTGACACTAGGTTGGCTCTAGCGGTGGGGGAGGAAAGAGGAACTCCTTCTGTGCTCGCGTGTTGTATCTTCTTGCTTATATTCTTCGTGCTTGTGCTGCATTCATGAAGGTTGATTTTCGTCAATCTCGAAGTTTTGGTATCAGAATGATCATTTCCGTTCGTGAACATACCCCAGTAGGTATTTGAATGCCACGCTCCGGCGATGCTCCAGCCATGCTACAGGGATAATTAGATCAACCCTGCGGCCTCCTTTAGAGTACCAGTGTTCACCTGCAATATAGAATACTACCCGAGTAGGCAGTGCAGTATCAAATCATCCCACCCTACGTACATTAGAAATATACAAATACCACCAAAGAAAAGTTGCCAAGCCAATTAGGAATAAATTTCTAAGAAATGAAAAGGTTAAGCTTACTTCCTTCTGAATAAAGTTGACAGGAGACCATCATAATAGATCTCCACTGTTTTCATTGGCATTAAGGAAGAATCCCATTTAACCCATATTTTGGTTCTGAGCAAAGACCTAGCCCTTAGACCCATGAGCCCCATTTCCTGGTTCAACATCTCTCAGAAGATTCAAATCTTTCACGTATCCAACATGGAATCTTTTGATGACCGCGATCCTCAGTGTAACTTAAACTAGGACATCAATTATCGCAGTCATCAACATGTATTACTCACGGAATTTTTTCTTGACATTTCTCACTTGCTTCTCGTGGAGTATAGGATATACTGGAGCTGATGATCATGGTGTTGTTTTTCTGTATCCAACGGATAATCTCACCATCAACTATCTCGACACCGTTAATGTAACCTACACGTCTCCCTTTCCAGAGCCTCAACTTTGGATCTATTGTCAAAATATCACGGATCTCACGGGTCCACTAATCACAGGTAAGATATCATCGTAGAATATACGGAGCAATGCAAACTCACTCGATATTTCTCTCACAGAAAGCTATACCACGGTGACAGCGTTTAATGGCTCTGCGCCAATCAATTGGAGATGGTTAGGTGGTTCACCTTGTTGGTTCGATTTAAAACCAAATGCATCAAATGGATATGGAGCCAATAGTGAACATTTCATCGTTGACCAAAACCAACGTGCATCACCTACAACTTTAGGATTACCCTTACCTACGGATTCGTCAACTTCCACGACATCAACATCGATATCAACTACCGCTTCGGCTAGCAGTGATGCCACCACGACAGCAACTCCAAATCCTACCACCTCTTCCACCAGTAACTCCGCATCCGCCGCATCCGCCTCCTCATCACCGACCCAGACCGGGCTTTCCACCGATAGCACTCCAGCAACCGGTCTTTCCGGCGGAGCCAAAGCCGGAATCGGAATTGGTATCGCAATTGTAGCGCTCCTAGCATTGGCCGCGGGATTCTTCTTCTGGCGCAAGAAACAGGCGAAAAAGACGCATTATACGGTATATCCTACTTCGGACGTGCCGATGAATGAGAAGATGGAGGACTCGAGCGATTATTCGAGGAGTGAACCCGAACCCGTGGCGTATGAAATGTATGCGCCGGAATATCATATCGAGATGCCGGGGACGCAGCCGGTGAGGGAATTGGGGGAGGGGGAGATTAAGAGTCAGGCGACGAGGTTGGTGTGAAGGGATTGACGAGAAGGGATGGAGGCTCCTTGCATATGGAAGGATAATGGGATGCAGAAATGGGCACTGGAAGCTATGGATGTATGTTCCCCACTGCGTAGAGAATCGTGTGCTTGATGGAGTTTACGGAATTACGAGATTTGGAACACGCTGGAGTCGAGGTCTCTATTATAGTCGACTTGGGAGCAGATGAGTATCTACCTCGGCTTTTTCGGATGGTTTGTAAATGATCTGGCGGATATATGTGATGGCTTTTTCTTCTTATTCGAGGGCCTGTCGAGTATTGCATAATATCTTTGGACGGAACATCATGGTAATCTCATGAAGGATTGGATGTTGCCTTTTATTTGTATTCTTTTCTATTGGTAGAGAGGATTTGGAATAGCGCTTTTTGAAATCACACCAGTATTAATTTACTGGCTCCAGGTGATGACTCTCACCCCAGATTTTGTTCTCTTATTCTTTCTTCGCGTCATTATTTTATTGCCGAGAACGCTTGCGATGGATGCAGATCAATTTTAAAAAGCCAAGGACAGTCTTGAGTGGGCTACTTCGGACTCCATGAATTGCATGGATCACTATCTGTTTCTATGAATATTATCCAATGTACATTACTGTTCTTATGCAATCTCATGTCGAGATTTATATCTGGTTGAATTCAGAAGTCTGGAGTATGAAACTACCTGGTAACGATAGTAAGCCAGCAAAATACCTTTCAATTTATTGAACACCATTTCTACGTTTTTCGAGATATGAGACTCCAAAGTTAATGTGAGAATTGAATAATGTATGAAATTATTCCTTCTCCTTTCAAGTGGGGGGAAAACGAGGACACCACCCTTTCAATCTGTCTTGGGATTCATGCTTGATCGGAACGGGTAGTGGCCAGCCCTAAGTTTATGATTCAAGGTGTTTTCAGGATGTGATTTGCCTCTAGGATCACGACACGGGTTGGAAATCGCTTTCTTTCAAACGGAATGATATGAAATTGCGTTACGGGCGAATTGAAGCTCTCTAGCAAGCGCTTGTGAGAATGGGAGGATGATGAATGGCCTAGGGGTGGCAGTAACACACGATCGGGATGTGATGGCCAAATTGTAAAATTCTCAACTGGGAGATGTGAAGTTCGTGGTGGCAAGTAATCATTCTGTCCTGATTTGGGAAGATTTCTATTCTTCTGTTGTACACGCGGGAGACTAGGAAGGGACGAGGAAATTCCAAGGAGGAAATTGTTTCGTCTCAATCACACAAGACTCAATCATTGCTCTTCGTGTACGAAAGTCGAGAAATTGGCCTATATCGTAGATGACCGACCTTTCTGGCGACTTAAGAGAAGAATATGTTCAATCGAAAATAAAGAATAGATTGTGTCTGCAGGCGACGAATGTGAGGACAAGGATCACCAGGATGCTAAACATACTTCAGGGCGAAAAAAGCACTGAAGTGAAGAATAACTAGAATATTGAAATGCTATACCCAATTTCATAACTAGCTTCCAAAACGTGACTTTTTTTAATCTAATCAACTTTTTGCTAAATCCCATACGAAAATAATTCAATTACTTTCAATTCAATCAAAATAATTCCAAATTGGAAAAACTCTATATAGAAATATAGATCTCAATTAATAGAATCAATAAATAAAATATGAATAATTTCGATTCAAAATTGATTGAATTGGAGGTGATTGAATGAAATTATGATTTTTGAAATAGTTTTCAGATTTTTGAATTGGTGAACTCTCGAAAATTGAAAATTTCATTCAACCACCTCTAATTCAATCAATTTCTAATTAATTCTAATCAAATTTTATTTATAGATTCTATTAATTAATATTGTAAAAGAGTAGAAGGTGGTAGGGTCATAATGTAGTCCTTCGTAAATACCACAAATAAGTTACTGAGACGTAACGCCTTCGGTGGAGGAGAGGAGGAGTAGGTATTATATAGCGTATTACAAAGTATATGAGAAGGTGGGTAGGAACTGACTGCTTTTCTCTAAACTATACGAAGAAGACCTATAAATACTAGCTACAGAAAGAGGTCACGTGACCAGTACCAAGTTTCGCTCACAATATCTATATTATAATATAAAGTTTTTTCAATTTAGAATTGTATTGATTGAATTGAATCTTCAATTTCAAAAGTTCAATTAGATGATATTGAAAAAAGTGTTTTTTTTCTTTGGAAGCTAGTTATGAAATTGGGTGTAGTAAAGCCATACTCTTATACATTTGGTGTGGAGGCAAAACGGAAGATGGGAGATGAAAAGATGTGGCATGGGGTATTTTGTATTGTATATTTACGAAGAAGGTCATTCGAACAATAATGTATTTGCGATTCTGATTATGATCATGGAAATATTAAATATATCTGTGTGGAATTGACTTCTGTTTATGAAGGCATGGAATAATTGCATGGAAAATGTGAGGAAGCTTGCAAATTCACGGGATATTGGGTACAGTCGATCCGATAGGCCAATGAAGATTTAGGCGGGTGTCTACGATCCAATAAATTATACGCATGTACCCAATTTCTAAAATTCTATTATTCCTCGTGATATTGAGAATAAAAATAGAAAGGAGTTGAGCGGGTATGCGAATCCGTTATTTTCCGGAGCAGTCTCGATTCATTCAAGAAGGACACACCAAAAGTATTTTTGGTGGTGTAAGCGTTAGATGTCTCCTGTTTGACATGGGTATTTCGATTGCAATATCTTTCGTTACCTTCAATGCTACCTCAATATATACCGAAGCAGATCTTCACCAATTGCTGGTGTTTTTGCAGTACAAGTGGGCTGCTCATCTTATCATCCGCAAAAATGCAACGCGATTATCAGACTAGGGTAAGCACACCCTCTGAGATAGTGCTTAGCCACGCTATAATACTATCAACTTTCTGTTGATTTCGTCTCGATGAATTCTGCAGCGTAGTATTGAGACCTTGTGCTTCATGCTCATTAGGGGCGTGAAGAAATTCGAGATACTATACCGCGTAATCATCAGAGGCACAGCGTGCAATCATGATCAATCTTAGTTCAAGCGGGACCACCGCCGTATAATATGAACTGCATAGTGAGATAACTGCTGATACCGCATTCCCAATCAACTTCATTTACTTGAATCGAAATTCCTCGAGTTATACCTTTTTACAAGTCCGAGTCCACCAACCGCATCTGCTAGCCATCAGTTGCTGAGCTGACATTAGCCTCAAACAAGGAGACATGTCTGCAAATGAACTTGCCATCTCTTTCGTAGGGCCCGGGGAAGTTACTGCCGCAGGAGTAGCGCTTCCGGTTGTAGGGATCACCGTTGTTGCGTTGCGTTTCTGGCTTCGCGGCTACCAAAAAGTGAAGCTTGGTCTAGATGACTACACAATTCTTGCAGCTTTGGTAGGTCTACCTCGAATACATTGTTTGAGTCTGAGGCTATAGTAACACAATTTTAACAGCTCTTCGTTATTGGAATGGGGATATGTCTAGTATACGGTCAGTTTTGGCACACTGTTGATTTTGACAAGTCTAACTCGCCAGATAGGAGTTGCAAAGCGTAGTCTTGGATATCCTACACCACAGCTTCCCAATGCTACTCCAGAGACACAGCTAACAGAGATTGTTCCTGCCCAAACACTCGTGGAATTGGTATACAAGTCAAAGGCCTCCTGAAAAATCACAGCTGCTAACCAAAGTTTAGCTTGACTGGATAATATGGTTACTCATGATCCCCGCAAATGGTCTGATCAAGCTGAGTGCGATATTCTTGTACCGCCGTCTATTTGTTGTCAACAAAGGGACAACATTCGATATTATCACTAAGGCGTTCATTGTAATCTGTTCACTATGGACTATTGCTTTCTGGTTTGCGACGATATTCGGCTGCGGAACTCACTTCACAAACCCTTGGAAGCCGCTGATATTCATCATGGAATGCAATACTAATATGAGATTGGACGGTCTCATGATATCAGATCTTATAACAGATATAATGGTCTGGCTTTTGCCAATGCCAGTAGTTAGTTCCGTGTCCTCTTCTACCATTTGCGCCGTTCTAATGACCATCAGGTATGGAGGCTGAATATGCGATGGTCTCAAAAACTTTACATCACAGGAGTATTTTTCCTTGCAGCTGGGTAAGTTACATACAGGTGTACAACATTTCTTAGCTGATGCTTTCAAGATCTCTGGTTGCGGCCATTGTAAGATTGATGGTCCAATTAGAAATATCTAATGGGGGTTATGCTGCCCATACGGATGTTGATTGTAAGTTGTAATGTCGGCCTCCCTCGTTGACTTATACTAATTTAATCGATAGTAACACTCACAATTCTATTATATTACAGTGGTCTTGAAAGTGGCCTTGCGCTAATAGCAGCATGCCTTCCTACTCTTCATTATTTTATAGCTCGGCCACCAGTTCAAAATCTTCTATCTAGCGTGGGAAGCCTACTAGGTCTTGATTCCCTTCGATCACGTTTCACTTCGAGCTCTCGAAGCAACGAAAACACTGCACCAGATACAGAGATTTTGGTGACAAAGAAAGTTTCGCAATCTTCACACTCAGGTGGCAGTTTTGTTGCTTCTGAGCGCGATATTCATGTTTACAAGTTATCACATATCGAAGATGGAATCGAACTACCCTTGGTTCCAACACCACCGGGACGGATGCATACTCGAATTTCGGGCAAAACATAGTGTTGCCCTTAGAATTTGCTTGTCGTGGGGTTGCTGCAACAGGCAGTGAAAGGATTCTTGGTGTGGCTATCTTCCAGGGAAAGCTACTATTACCTCATTGGGAGGTTCTTCTAAGATAACAAGGATCATGGAAATTGTATTGGCTCGCATAACATAAAGTTCGTATCGTTTTTCGGTACCTATTGCCAATTTCATCCAGACTACTCGTAGAATAGACCACATTCTCTTTCGGATTTTCTCGAAAACATAATGACGTAATCTTACATCTAAGTGACCAATAAAAGAAATTACATTAAACTGGAGGGTGTGTGGATGAACTATCATCTAAATTATATGCAGTTTTCAGAAAAAACAGCACAAATTACGGCGCAGTGCAGTCGGGCTGGCGGGCAGAACCATGTATAAACGGCAATTCTTATCCGGTCATCGGCAATTCGTTCTGAGAGGGAGTTGATCTATTTTACTATTTAGAAGACGATCTTTCGGGTTGAAGGTTGCGCAAACGCTGGTACTACTTTATCACTCCAAATTTAGGGGTCTTTTCATTTAACCTGACTATACATCCGTGTAGATCAATATGTCAGAATCTTCGAAGACGGACTGGAGTTTGGCCGACGGACATGGCTACGTATTTGAACGCAGTCATATCGCAGCTTGTCGGCTTAATTTGCAGTATTATCTTTGGAAGGAAGCTCTTAACTTTGTTGTACACCACTCGGTTCAACTGTCGAATGAGAGCGTTATTGCAGATATTGCAACAGGCACCGGGGCTTGGCTTTTAGATGTTGCTCGCGATTTTCCGCAAGCTCAAATTGAGGGATTCGATAATGATGTACGGCAAGCTCCTCATGAAAGTCTGTTGCCTTCAAATGTGTCCGTGAGGCACTGGGACATCTTCACCGATTTGCCAGACGATATGGTTGGCAAATACGACTTTGTTCATGTGCGGTTGCTTGTGCTAGTCCTTAACGGCAACTCACCATCTTTTATTCAGAAGCTGTTGAGAATGTTGAAGCCCGGGGGTGAGGAATCGCTATACCTCCTAGAAGTAATTGCTAACCCACAACAGGATATTTGCAGTGGGACGAGCTGGATTGTGTTAATATGCATGTTAAAAAGCCCGACCCCAAGCTTCAAGCCTCGGCCCTAGAGCAGATCAGAGAAATGTCGTGGGCAAATGGTAGGCATGATTGGACGGTGAAATTACCCGATTTTCTACAAGAAGCAGGTTTCCAGGATGCAAAGATTCAATATTTTGGGGATGAAGACCGTTTGGCCAGAGCTTTCAATGAACAACATCTCCTGACAATGGATGAATTTGCGTCAAGTCTAGTGAGAATGGGGAAGGTAGATGCTTCGAAAAAGTGGTATCAGCTTATTCAGCAGGGCTATGAAGAGTCTACGAAAGGCGCAGCGTTATGTATCCCTAGAATTGTGTGTACTGCGAGGAAGCCCTGATTCTTTACTCTAAGCCAGACAAAGCGCGGGGTTAATGTATTGCTTTTCTTTGAATAGATCATCCCCGCTTACAGTATGGCTCAGTATTGGTCTCCTACCCCTATAATTGTGGATTGCATGTGCTAAACCTTAAAAAATATGGGCGCAAGATGTCTTGTTATTAGCTTGTTTCCCAAGCGAATTATGCACGAGTCTCAAATCATGTATTTGTTATCAGCAAAACTGATCCGCCCCTTCACCTTTCCTGTAGAAGAATCCGTGAACCTTGTTATTGACGCTGACAATAACATGTCATCTCCGAACACTCTTGCAAGGGGACGCTGGGGTGGATCTTCAGCGAAACGGGTGGCTTGCAGACACGCTATAACCACGGCTGCAAGCCTCTTACATGCGAGCTATCTGTGGGCAACAGAGCTTCAAACTTGCTCTAGTCATACAGATACACCGATACTGGCAAATCGACGTGGTATTGCAGATTTGTCCGCGTAATGAACTGCAACTACCTGGGCTATCATGGAGAGAGACACGGAGTCCAGACAAAACAATATTGACTGACTACCAATAGTTTGGACCGATTAATATTGACGTGTTATGACAATCTAAGATTATGCCGCCGAAAAGCAGCAAGAGATTGCCATTTGGTATGGATGGCACCATAGTTGTTTTTGAGAACCACGGGGACTATCTCTACAGGTGGAGAATTTTGCTCTAAGCTCGCAATAATGTGCTGCTAGCAGATTTCCAAAGGTCTATAATTGAACACATAAATCCAAATTGTTTATGCAACTACCATTTTTCTCAAAACCTCTACAATTACTAAAAGGATTTCGCCATGGCAAAACTACTCCAAATTCTGTGCCTTTTCGCCGCCGTCGCACTTGTCGCCTCCGCGCCAGTCAGAGATCTTACACGTACGTTCATTATTCTCGATTGTAACAGTAGATGTTAACCAAGACACAGTCCGTGATGTCGAATTTCATGGATCTTCAATAAGTGAACCGATCAAAGCCGTTTCCCTCAAGCGTGATACCGACTACGTTCGAAATCCCTTGAGCGATTGGGACACTCCACTTCCTGTCCGCGACGATGAGGCAATTGAGCCAGTTCCACAGGCGGATCTCAAGCACTGAATATGTACAAGATAATGCTTGAGAGAGTGCACAGATGTGGCGGAGGAAATGTGTTCTTGGAGGAATTCGGGAGTGTGATGAGAGAGATGAAGGGACAGGACGCTTTGTTCCAATAGAACTTGCCTTGATAATTACGAGCAATACCAGAGGATTTTTCAAGTCTTAAATTGTCATAAAATAAAATTTTCTTTCCTGTAACTCTAGGCAAAGAAACAAGAGAACATGAGAGTCTTTGATTCATCCACGTAAAAATTCAAGATGCACCACAATGCCCACAAACTAGTTTTATTTTCCAGCTTCAGTCAAGGCTCGTGAATCTTTTCCAGGTATTGATTTAGCGCTGGAGAGGCCTTTAATGCTTCGGTGTCGTATTTTCCGGATGCCTTCCTGACAATTTGAAGGTCCACATGAAAGCCTTGTCAGCTCAAATATTGCACATCTTGCGATGTGCATCACAACTTTGATAACTATACTCTAAGATGCCGAAAGTAACATGGTGAAGTCTGGGTCATATAGATTTTGAGATACTGCGTTATCAACTAAATCTACTCAACATGTTGGCCTGGACGAAGCCATGCAGTTTTAGACATCTCTTCATAAGGTGACCCAGGTGGACAGAAGCGATATCTGTCCAATTCGCGGAACCCATCCTCTCTTATCTCTCCAACATGCTTCCAGCAAGCAGTATGCTCATCAGCCCAGACCTCCAGCTGTTTCCAATCACGACACATTCGCACCTGGCCTTGGCCACTTTTCTGGTCTTCTTGAAATCCTGTGTATCGTGGAGTATCATCCGCATTACACATGACCTCATCGCGAAGTACATTCAAGCAGTGTATGACATGAAGATATGGTGAACTCTGTGGCACATTATTGTGAAACTCTACAACTGATGTTCGGATGGTTTTCTAGGTTGTCCATAAGCTTTATGATCCTTCTGCGAAGCTTTCATACGATAGACTTACAACACAATGTATATTGTGGTACGCATTTATCAGGTAGATCCCTTTTGACTGATCCCAGGGAAATCGCTGAGCTCTGGGGAGTCCCAGCTCCTTCGCATAGTCGTCGGCAAGAGCAATTTGACCACGATCGTAGCTTGTTTCGTCCCAAAGCATTTCCTGATCAGATTCATTGGCACCACTATTCGAAGTCCATGCCTTTGGGATTGTTCTTGTTAAGCCGGCTGAGAATGAATGATTAGTACATTGCTATGGTGAACATGTGATTGGCTCGAATGGGTAGGAAATGACAAACCGAATTTTGAAGTCTCCAAACACTTGGTGAGGTCTTTTCTAGCTGTTATGACAACTAAAAACCCGAGATTAACAATAAGAGAAGAGAGTAACAGAAACCACGAGATATTCTTTCGAAGAAAACTTCCTGGAGGATGATGATCGGGGGCCTCATAAAACTTTTCGACTTCTGAAGAGTCGTTCCTTGAAGGGCTGTTTGAGCGAAGAGCACGATACATTTTAGTCTATTGCACGAGGATACTCGACAGACTTCGTATCTTTCATCAGTGACTTAAGATAGACACATTATGAGAATCAAGTTCATGTACCCACTCTAAACAGGGGTTTTTCTAAGCTTTAAAGCAGCATGATATCTCCGCACGACTGTCTAATTTTTCTGATCATGACGAGATAGCAAGCGTTACATTTGCTGCGTCATTAGATATATGTAATGTAGAAGAGAGGCATGGCCGAGATAAGAACTTGTGCCGGGTGGTGTGTAGCTACGCCGCACGACCCACTAAAGTACATACTCTTTTGATGATCCACGATCGAATCAAACATCTGCCGACACCAACATTAGGGGTGTTTGTCTGTGAATGGTTGCAGAATAGAGTGCATCGGAATATTGAAGTATACCTAGGTAAACTCCATTGCCCATGTCTTATCTATAGCTCGAGTCAACATGCTGAGCGTTGTTACTGCTTACAAGCTTTTCTCCAAGGCGATCACAGGTCTGATGGATCTTACCCCTGTAGACGCAAGTATCGTTCCGAGGACAAGCGATACATACTTGCCTACAATAGCTCGATAGCTTTGAACCCTTGGTTTGAAAGACCTGTTACAATAGGAAACAGTCGATTCTTACGATTTCCAGATCTTTTCAGTCTAGCTGCCCAGCCCCGGAGCGATTGAGCTTCTCCTAATATGGTTAATAAATCTCGCGGGAATCGATTCCATTAGCAAGACTGCAGTAGCATGAAATTGCAAAAAACCCCCAACCTTTCATTGGCGATCCGGCAAGCGAACGACGGCCATTCATAACACAGTCCGAGATTGTTCTTAGTATAACGTCCCATTGATCGAGTCGGGGAAGTTGTGAAATTGGTTCTCCACACCACCCTCATCAACCTTGTATCTTTTCTTCCTCATCGTGCAATGCATGCTTTCAGGCTCGTTTGATCCTTGACATTGTAAAGGGAATGAATGAACAAAATGCAAGTTTAGATTACCAGGTTTCGATGTTATATTGCCGGCTTTTCTTCGGGCTGCCCAACAGTTGGATGGCTCAAATACAAAACATTTCTCGAACATAATAGTAAGTTCTACAGCTTGTCTTGAGTTTGTTTACTAGCCAAGTTTACGCTAATAATGGACAATCCAGTGCTCGACGTTTCCCTGCAGGAAGAAGCATTAGCAACAAAATCCGACCAGGACATCGCCGTACCCTCAGAAAAACCGAACGTTTCGACTACTGAAACCGACGCCCTGGAAAATGATGAAAATATCGTTGATCTCGACGAGAATGAACCAGAACATCCTCTCAACTGGCCCCTGTGGCGGAAATGGTCAATCGTTAGCTGTACGGCATTGATGTTCATGTTGGTGTATGTTGATCTCTTCGTTCAACTAGTCCCTCACCTCAAGCTTACGCGATTTCATAATCTTCATACCAGATATCTAATGGATTCTTATAGTAACTTGGGAACCATCACTATCGTTCCAGCAGTGCCAAGAGTAATGGAAGAGTTTCACGTTACAAATGAGCTATACTCAACTTTGCTCGTGTCCATTTGGGAGCTTGGTGAAGTCTTTGGACCTTTCTTGGTGGGACCTTTGTCGGAGATTTACGGTCGAATGCCTGTATATCATGTTGGAAATATCCTCTTTATCCTATGCCTTACAGGAGGGGCATTGAGTACCAATATGTCCATGCTTATCGCTTTTCGTTTTCTATGCGGACTGGTCGTTTGCTCGGTGACTTTAGGGCCCAGTATCGTTGGGGATCTCTTCAGAAAAGAAGATCGAGGTACCGCCATGTCAGTAGCTATTGCCTTCCCACTACTAGGACCATTTGCAGGGCCGGTCGTTGGTTCCTATATTACCGAAGCAAAAGGCTGGCGATGGAGTATCTGGATTGTTGTGATTGCCGTAGGAGCAGTAACTTGTTTTGGATTTCTCACATTTCGAGAAACATACAAGGTGAAACTTGTGCAACGAAAAGTAGAGAGACTTCGCAAAAGTACTGGCAACGAAAATTTGCGATCCAAGTATGGAAGTTCGGAGAAACATGCGGATTTGAAGGATTCTTTGTTGCGGCCAATCAAAATGCTGTTCCTTTCACCAATTGTGTTTATCATATCTTTCTTCACGGCTCTGGTGTATGGAATCTCTTATGTTATTCTTACCACTCTCACTCCAATCTTAGAGGATAATTACGGACTTGGCCAAGGTCCCGTGGGACTTGCATTTTTGGGAAGAGGTACGGATTTTCGTTCTTTGATCGGATGTATACAAATGAGACTAACGTATGTCAGCTGCTGGAAATGTTATAGCTATGCTACTCTATGCCATGGTCTCCGACCGATACATCAAGTACAAAAAATCACAAGAAGGACATCTGAAACCCGAGCATCGACTTCCCCTCATGCTTCTGGGTGCCATAGTTCTTCCCATCGGTCTTTTTCTCTACGGTTGGTCTGCCGAAAAGCACGTTCATTGGATCGTTCCTATTATCGGTACTGCAATCGTGGGCTTTAGTTTCATCTTGGCAATACTTCCCACAGAGAACTATCTCGTCGATGTACACGAACTACATGCAGCTTCGGCAGTGGCTGTATGCTGTATACTTCGTGCTTTATTTGCTGCCATTCTACCGCTCGTTGGACCACCTCTGTATAGCCGATTGGGGCTCGGATGGGGTAATTCGTTGTTAGCTTTTATTTGTATCGCTTTCTTACCTGCACTTGTGGCGCTGATGATCTATGGAGAAAGAATGAGGAAGAATTCTAGATTCCGTTAGACTTCTCTTTACATAAAACCGAGTAAACTTACGTTGCTGTCAAGGGATTTCGGAAAGTCTTTCCGAAAGACATAATCATCCGCGATCTGCCAAAATACTGCTTACGCCAAGTCAAAGTCCGTGAGACTTATTCTCACTACAATACGATCTCGACCTCGTGATGTTTTTGTATATTCGAGCAATGATTCGCATGACCTAAATGTTCTTTCATGCGATAGGCAGCGCCTTTAATAAACGTCTATATCTTCTGATACATCGATTGAGTACAAGGTACTGTGAAATAGTTTTCTCATATTTCAAGATGTACCAGTCAGAGACTTTCCTGATACTTTTGTTGTTCATTGTGACAAGTTCTATAGCATCCATTATCCCAAACATCCCAAACAGATCCCTATCGACTCGAGAATGCCGAAACATTTCACCAACTTGGATCTCCCAGATTTCAAGCGCCGCTCCTAATGCAAGCTACTCAAATGCCATAAGTAGCAACGGTGCTGGTTCATTCTTCGTATACCAGAATTCCAGTAAATCTCCTTATCCTTCTAATACCACCTTCATCCCCACAGTGATTTGATTGCTAACGCCATCTCCAGCTACCGCTCTCCTTCAATACCTATCCTTCACAATCCCTCCATCCACACAGAACCCCTCTCGCACAAACCAGACCTGCACCCTCGCTGCCACCTTCCCATTTTTCGAATCGCAGTATCTAGGCTGGTCACTTACCTCACCAACTCCACCCACGCTCGATATCTCTATCATCTCTCCACCCTCCAATTCTCCACTCGCTATCCCACCAACCTGGACTTCAACCTTCTTTCCTGAAAACTCCGATCCCCCTCAACATTTTGGTGTACTCACCCCAGTGGTGCGTCTCGATACAACGGTCAATTCGTTGTCATGTCCTGAGAATGGTGTGCTGAGCTTTGTGTTTCGGTTTGCGGATGGGGTTGTGGGAAATAAGAACGTGTATGAGATATGGCCACAGTATCCAGCGGGGTTATCATCAGGTTTACCGATGACAGGTGTTTACTTAAGTGTGTGCTGATTTTGGATGATGGTCGTCGTGAGATATGGTAATTTCTGGGGGGAATGAAGTGCATCGGTGCTGAAGTCGCTTTTCAGCTCACAGCTTGAAATGAGAACATCCTGAAAGGATTCGTCTATGTGTTTCCATAAAAATGTGCCACGATTATGTCCATAGATTTCTCATTCAGATATCTCTTGATGCAAATCGATCGCATGATCTCAAATCAGTTTCGTGGCTTCATTGTTGCCCGAGGCGTGAAGAATATGTTTTCCCAGAGAGATCCGCATGGGTTGCGGCAAATTTGCAACTCTTCTTTTCAGCTAAAGCTTTCTACTCCGTGCACATCCATCTGATGATAATAACCAGTCGTGCTCAACACAATCACATCCTATGAACATTCTTCCATCTTCCATATCCTAACAGTCATGATCATTAGTAAACATCTACATGCGCGCCATACGATGATGAGAGAAGTTCGAAAAAGCCCACGCTTAAACACTTGCACTGGCTCCTCTTCCACCACAATATGCACATCGCAGTCGTCACCAGGAAATTTCAGGAAGATATAACATACGCCTTGCACTCTCCCTCCATTCAGGGAATCCCCACAACAGTCACGAAATCAAGAAGTGAGCGCTTACCTTATTTATATCTACACATTCTGGTGACCTACAACCACACCCTTGATGGATTCCAACCGTGCATCATCTCCCTCACATTCATCCACTGTACTAATCAGCTATTCATCAACATCCGCAGCCGGGCACTTAGCTTCTTCTTTTTCTTCTCAGGTGGCTCTATATCTCTATTGAAAACCAAACATGTGTGATATCCATAGACAAATCTCACCATTCAACATCAGGAAAAGAAATTCTTCTACAATCGAAAGCCGTAAATCCTCCATAATCAACGTAAGCCTTTATAGACACTAGGAAAAGCACCGCTTCAGTGAACGTATGCCATTGCCCTGAAGTCCCCGATAACGCGCCATTAGATTAGATGCTAACTGGCGGAATCCAGAACATTCTACAGAGAAGTGGAAGAACGAACTTGATGTCTCGAGTCATCGGGCCCTGTTCACCTGTGACTTTCATACAGTGACATGTAACAGACATATGATTTAATAGTGCCGGGCTAAGATTCATAGTACTATCGAATGAAGAGAACGTTTGTGCTTGCACTTGCAAATCTAAGGTGAGAAACCAATACACAGACGATACTATACATGCGAGAAGTAGACCACGGGATCGAGCTCAAACTAGAAGTTGTGGCGCTGTTGCAATCCAACGAATATTTTGGCACAAGTTATCAGAAGTGCGATTACTATGGTAATGCGCAGGCTTTATCATCGTGGGATGTGAGGGAGTGCTCGTATTGACGATGGCGAGTGTTAGAGATACTATCAATAACTAGTGAAACAACTCCCCGTTCAATTTTAAGTGGATTCTCTGCTGCCTAGACATGAGCCCAACTAGCTGGCTTTGGCGAGAGGGTCTACAAGATGCGCATCTACGCCTTATAAACGTGTTGAATGATCGCACACCAGCAGTCATTATGCACTCAGATTAGTATTTCCAACCAAGTGAGAAGAAAACCCTCTTATATTCACAATCAAAATCTTCAGTACAGTGATCATATATTGATACTCGCTTAGTATGTCTTACTTGCTCCATCTGCACAAGCATCCATGCAGCAGTTATTTCTTTCCCATGAGCTTCTCTTAACGAGCCTTGAAATACTCAAAGCTCACCAAAAATCTCCTTACCCCGGTGAGCTCCCAGGTAGAAATAACGATATGTGTATCACCAAAAATCGACAATCCCCGTTGCACATTTGAAATTACATCGAGTCTTGATATGCAATCCCAATTCAGATGTAAAGATTGTGGATTCTCATCTTTCTTCGATTTTCAAGGCTACTAGGAAATCATGCACTTGAACCAGAATTACGCACGGGTGTTTTGGTTTGTAAAAGAGCCACTGTCAAGCCAAGAAAACTGGTGGTTATATGTTTGCACAGCCCGAAACATCAGACATGCAACATAACCTCGGAAGTCACAAATAAGGGTCTGTGAACATGAGGCTGAGGTTATCGCCCAGGTATAGTTTTAAAAGTATGTCATATAGAAATTGTATCCGTACGTAATATGAAGATCATGAATCGGAAGCTAAAGAAATTCATTATCATGGATCGATCATAACCTGCTATGAAAACACACGCACCCAAGTCTCTCCATGCAATCCAGTCTAACGCCTTTCCCCAATGTTAGAGGTATCATAAGTCAGTTTAAAAGAAATCCGTCAATATTGTTGGTAACCTCCTTGGGCAACCTCTTGTGGCGCATATCCCCTTTGCATCGGCATCTGTCCTTGTTGTACTTGTGGGCGTCTCATTGCTCCTGGTAAGTCGTTGAACCATGGATGGCTTAAAGCATCATGTGCGCTGATTCTCAATTCTGGTCTTAATTGCAACATTCTCTGAAGAAGGTCGATACCAACCGCATCAATTTGAGGTAGAATGACTCGTAGATCTTGAGTTGCATACATCTGAAAGTTTGACTTGTACTCGGTAAATTGAGAGATTCCAGGCCATGTTCGCTCAGACGGTGTTCCCATGATCCTGAAAATTCGTACCAACTGATCCTCATTGGTTGTTCCAGGAAACAAGGGACGTCCAGTATACATTTCTGCCATAATGCATCCCGCAGACCAAATGTCAATACTGGTATTGTAGGTTCGGCTTCCAAGGAGGACATCTGGTGCTCTGTACCATAAAGTAACCACCTCGTTGGAGAAAGTGTTGACAGGGATACCAAATGCACGCGCAAGACCAAAATCTGCAAGTTTGAGTTGGCCCTTCATGTTGATGAGGAGGTTTTGAGGCTTTAGATCTCTGTGAAGGACCCGATTTTGATGACAGAAATCGATTCCCTTGAGGAGTTGGTGCATGAATGATTTGATCGTAGGAGGTGGTAAAGCTCCTCTGTCTCCTGCAGTGTCCATGTATTTCTTCAAGTCCTTGTCCATATGTTCAAAAACCAACATGAGTTTATTCTCGGTATGTATGACATCGTGTAAGCTGACAATATTCTCATGTTTCAACTCTTTCATCAACGAAATTTCTCTGATCGCAGTCGATGGTGTACCTTCTTCGGAATCGAGATGGATCTCCTTCAAAGCGACAAGTTCACCAGTCTGTCTGTTTCTGCCTTTGAAAACCTTGTATGAGTCAGTATCGAAGAACATCTACAAGTCCGCTTCAAGAAGAGCCCTTGTTAGGACAGTATATCGAGCGCAGATCGCGCTGCGCTACATGGATCTCAAGATTCCCCTCTTGTACTCACAGTAGCGTAAGTGCCCTCTCCTAACTTCTCCAGCTGCTGGAAGGAACTGGGGTGTTTCCTATTGTCCATCTTGTCTGTGAGGTGCTCGGTATCAAGATCTTGTATGCTGATAGAACTTGGCAGAGAGTGGGGAAGTCGCTGCACAGTTGGAGAAGGGGGAAATGTGTGAGGAGGCTTTAGTAAAGATCTCTTGCGAACTGTATTGAACAAAATGGACTTTGGGGTGCAAGTTTGCTCTAGAATCGACAGCGCGTCTTTCGACCCGTGAGAAGCCGTTTTGATTGATTGCAATAAAATTGGAGATCTTTCCCTGTGGAAAAGAAAACCGGAGCAAAATGATGTAGGGATTAATTCACTCGAGAAACGATCGTCGGGAAATGCTTCCAATTATCGTGCATGTATGGTCCAGTGAAGGTGGTACAATAGGAAGAATGATGAACGAAAGTAACCATATTGAGTTTAGCCGTTAATTGACATCCAATTTTGGATATATTACACCAAATAAGGCGCTTAAACTCAAAATATCAAGCGCTTAATAATAAGGTTGATTATGAAATAAGCTTGGTACAAAGCTGATGCCTTATCTTATCTTTCGTTGATGCCTCAGCACGTGCTCAGGTGCTTGCTTTTCACACTAATGTCGGTATGACTTTAGTACAGATCGGAGTTAGGTAAGATTCACCGCTAATCGGCTCCTGTACTTTTGGCTGGTTGGGCTTTTGCTGCAATGAATGAATCAGGAATCAGGATCTCTTCTTCCTACATTCAACATCACGCGGCGGGGTACTAGTATTGTTACATGCCTACCCAAGCAACCGTGCTACAACTTACGAGACAACTTCAATTCCTAAGAAAGGGATTGTTTGAATACCTTCACTTTTCTATGGAGTTACCATACAATACCTAGGTTTCAAAGCATTTAAAGCATGATAAGAACTTGATCCCCGCTTCTCCACAAACGACTCCTTATCAAACAATCCAAAATGCGCCCTTTACCAGGCGACGACGCTTACAGGGGGAGATCTCGCAGTAGGAGTATTAACGATAACGACATAACACCACTTGCAACAAGAACACAAGCTCCGCAGATGAGCTATTTCCTTACAGACGAGAGAACATTAGAATCTGGAGAAGCTCAACCAATTCGTGTTCCATTGAAACATCGGGATTCTTTGAAGAATAGTACATACGGTGTGGAGAGTATTGACACTACAATTAGCTCTTTCTCTGAAGGTAGCGGTGATGAGGATGGAAAATACGACAGAGCTAGGGAGAAATTCAAGAAGAATTTGGCAGAAAAGTTACAATCTGTAGGAGATTCGAGATCTCGTTCCCGAAAGGCATCCTACGATCTCAGCGGAACTACTTCTCCAGTCCGCCCCTCAACTACCGAAGCCTCCAGACCTTATACCCCTATTTCTTTGTATTCTGCTGCTGAAGAATCTATTATAAGTAGTCCTGGTTCGAGAATGTCAGATACTGAATCATTAAATGACGAAATATCAAGTCAGGCTATTGTGTCTGGTGAAGAAGATGAACCGAATGCGCCGGCAATGATGAATAGCTGCTCTGACCCTCAACTAGTTATGCCGAGTATAAAAATGCCTAGCAGGCGGCCATTTACTGAGAAGGGAAAGAATATGGGGAGGTTGAAGGTATTAATCGCTGGAGACTC